CGTATTAACAAAATTTCTTTAGGATCATCATAGCAGCCGCGGTGTTCCGGCATTTAGGCTTCTGCCTGCGCGGCTGTTTCGATATAAAAAAAAAAAGAATTAAATCTTCTTCACTGTATATGTTTTGTGACTGGGACCAAGGGTTGACGGATCCCACGCATGTGTCACACGTTGGTGATTTTCGAAATGTAATAATCAGCTGTTAATCAAATAATGTCTAATTATATAACTTAGAATGTGTACTCATGAAAAAAGGAAAATATCGCAAATTTCCAGTTTTTTGCAGGTTTTAGGTTTGTAGAAAGCTAAAACGACGACATATATTTGGGTATTCCTTAATCGCTGTAAATGGTGTGGATGCTTGTTCAGTTCCTGAACAACGAAAAGTATTCAACTTTATGGATGTATGGATATCAAAAAACCTGAATGGTTTTGTGAGAATATCAATCTAAGGTGCCATAATGGTTCTGATGAACGGCAAGTATATTACTGAATGTTTGGAAACGAGCAATATCTATGAAATTTTTGGTAAAGTCTGTCATCAAGTAGGTGTTTAATGGCTATCTGCAAGATGTTTATAGGAAAAAAACCACGGGAGGTGATGTTAAATCAGTAAAATCCCATATCAATTGAAGACAGTATTATAAACATGAATAAAAAATCAACAATAGTAATTAAAACATATACATAATTTTATATATATAATTTTATTCAAAAATCAAACATTTCTTTAAATTTTGACTGAATTATATCTAATTTCTTAATATTCAATAAGCTGGTGATGTTTCAAGGATAAGTTGTCATCTCATACGTTTACAATATTTTGTTTTCAACATTTCCTAGGTATAAGTTGCTGAAATTTGTTGATTGGATGTTGAAGCTCATCCGCTATATTTGAGGGACTTCTACCCTATAGGTGAAGAATAACAGACTATTAATTTGACAACCTTGGTGAAATCAACCCCTAGTCAATCAAAAATGTGAGTTCCATTATAAAAAAGTGGTATAATAACGGACGTTTGCGCCTTTGGTTTTTTTCTCATAACCACAATTTTAATATGCTATATCAAAATTAGAAAAAATGATAACTTGACGGGTAGGAACAAACATAATGTAAAGCTTCCAATAATATACACTGTGATCTCGGTAACGGGAAGAGATATTTCATAAATCAAAGTATTTTGGAAATAAAAACATTGTAATGCCTTGGAAAAGATGAATACCTTAAAAAAAACTTTGGAATTGGAGTACAAAGACAGCTACACATTCACATAAATATCCCATTTCGTGAAACACACAATGGTACTATACAATAAAGTCAATTTTTATAACAAACTGATCATTATAATTATTTTATTTTATTGACAAGGGAATGAGCTGAATGATTAGGAAGCACGTTTCTGACGAAAACTCATAAGCAGATAGGTCTTTAATGCCAAAAAAGAATAGCAGATCAGCCCTTTATAGTAAATTGGCTCCTTTATCTTCCTATCTTGGACCTGTGAGGTTAAACACCTGACAAAATATGTACAGCAGCGGTAGCTAGGGTATATTATAGAGTAAATAAACCTTTGATATTTGCATAAGCCTTTTTTGGGCAGAGGCCAAATGTTGGCCAAAGGTGTATTATTTGACCGAATGTGACCGAAGTCAAAGCTGAAGCTTCAATCGGACCCTAGGTAAAACTTTTGCGTCACAATTCTGGCTGAAAATGCTTAGTTTGAACTTTGAAGGACAAATTGTCACAAAACAGTGGAAATACTGTCTTAGAAGGCAAATTAGTATGATCCCCAGTGAACTCACTACCGACTTACTAATATTGCTGAAAGTGCACTTAACAGCTACACCGGGATAAACAACAATTTCTATGAATTCATTTAACTCTCGGCTGAAGTAGGTTGGCGCCAATTAAAAAAAAAGCTCAGCAGGTACGAGAGAAAATTGAAGAAGTAGAATATCTCTGGAAGCCTCCAATCAGCTTAGAGGAATTTCCGTGGAATTATGTTAAGTCCCACGGTTCGAGTCAGAGAGGCAGGAGAACGGGCACGCTGAGAGTCAACTGGAAAATCAAATGAACGAGCTCCTCTTTCTATTTGCATCAAAATTGACTTTTTCCTAAATTGAAAAGGTCAATATTTGCCTCCCGCCTGTTTCGATTATGTCAAAGGTGAGAGGGAGACGGGCGCAATTTCGCATAACAAACGGTTTTAAACTCAAGACCTTATAGTTCAAGAATTTGCTGCAAATTTTAGCCGTCATCTGCTAATAATATCAAATATATTATAATATTTCATCTCATAATCGTTACTTTTGAGAATCCTTCTTCTAATATTTTGAAAAGTAAGGGTTCTGATTATAAAGCTTGATTACTTTTTTCTGGCACTTGCCTCAGTTGTTTTATTTTTGTTTTTTCGTTCTATTATTAATTATAATTAATCAACAGCCAAAAAATATCCTAAATAAAATCAACAAAATATTACTATTTTTAATGTGCTAAAACCGGAATGAAACTTATTTTTTCAATATTAGTTCAAGTTTTAGAGATACGGTAATTATATGTGTTCCTGCTGTGACAGTGTTAATATACTGTAATTCACAAGAATGCACGTGCTACATTTTTATATTCGGCAAGGAAAGATGATGTAATCGGCATGATTGTGTAACGTTATACATACGTGTACATTATATTGTTTTATATTAGCCATTTTTTCCTCAGTTGGCTGACAGCGTTCATGCAAGATGTCTCGAAAGTGTGTAAACAATCCAGATCAGTTTTGTTACGTGTGTGGTGATGTGACTTTTGCGTCTCAGAGACGGTCTATTACTCCACTAATAACAAAGGCATATCAGCTTTATTTCGGTTGTAAAGTAGGTGATCAAGGCAAACAGTGGGCACCCCACATCTGCTGTAATACATGTGCTTCAAGTCTGAGGAGCTGGTTAAATGGCAAAAAACGGTCTATGCGCTTTGCTGTCCCAATGGTTTGGAGAGAGCCTACAGATCATATTAATGATTGTTACTTTTGCATGGTACCTTGTGTTGGACAAGCCACAGGTATGTCCAACAAAAAAAATCGGTTATTAACTACTCAAACATACCATCTGCGATGAGACCTGTGCCTCACAGTGACGAAAATCCTATTCCAAAACCCCCAGAATCCTACACTTGCGAATCAGAAAACGAATCAGATCATGGCAATCGAGTGATTCGTCTGGAAGAAGATATGCCATCAACGTCAAGAGATCCTGATTTTATACCGAGCACGTCATGCCACCAACCGCACAAAATAACACAGTCAGAATTAAATGATCTTGTAAGAGATTTAGAACTTCCAAAATGTAAGGCAGAGTTACTTGGATCAAGACTGCAGCAGTGGAACAGAAGACGATGTTTCGGTATGTGTTTTTCGTAAACGCCACAAAGACAGAACCATTTTTCAATATGGAGAATAACTTGGTTTTCTGCAGTAACATTAACGGCTTACCGGCGGCTTTAAATATAAACTCTTCCTGTAGGGTATGCAGTTCACATGAAAGAATCGTATGACAATATGAAGTACCTATTGACATGCATAAAATACGATGAGCACCAATGGCATATTTGTGGCGATTTGAAAGTTGTTGCACTTTTACTTGGGCTGCAGCTGGCTACACAAAGTTTTGCTGTTTTTTGTGTGAATGGGACAGTCGGGCAAAGGCACTTCATTACACCAGATAAAACTGGCCTGTTCGTCAATTCCTAGAGCCAGGTCAAAAAAATGTACAGCATATGCCATTAGTAGATTAATAAGTTGGGCCTAATGAAAAACTTTGTCAAGAGATGGGTCAGCTTTTCAATACCTTCGTCAGAAATTTCCAAGACTAAGTGAGGCAAAGGTTAAAGAAGGTATTTTTGTTGGGCCACAGATTCAAAATATTTTGAAAGATACACAGTTTGAAAACACTTTAACAGGTATTGAAAAAACTGCTTGGAATGATTTCCGTCTGGTGGTCACTAATTTCTTGGGAAATAGAAAAGCTGACAACTATAAAACCCTTGTCAAAAATATGCTGTCATCGTATCAAAAGATGGGCTGTAATATGTCTCTTAAGATATATTTCCTACACTCACACCTGGACTTTTTTCCTGACAATTGCGGAGTCGTAAGTGATGAACACGGCGAACGTTTTCATCAGGATATTTCAACAATGGAAAAAAGGTACCAGGGAAAGTGGAATCCTTCCATGTTTGCAGACTACTGTTGGACTCTTGGTAGAGATGCTCCAGAAACGATCCATAAAAGAACAGCAAAAAGACAGCGCATATAGTGATTCTTATAAGTATATGAATCTTGTTACTTTTTTTAATATACATATCCTTAAAAATATAAAGTTTTTTTTCTAAACCGCAACTAATTTTTTTATTTCATTGTCATTTTTGGATTCAGCGCCCCAAAATTAACAAAGAAGTGCACTCTTCCCACAAGATACAATTAAAAAACTAAAATTTGTTGTCCAGTAAACTGACACTGGACTATTTTGTATACTCCTAAATAAAATTATCGCGATCCAGCTGATATTTTTTTGAATGTAACGGCTCCTGAATATTTTGTAAAGTCTGTTATTTGACAACGTATTGTCCTTATAACCTGCCAACTTTTTATCATGATTTGTTAGGATCCAAACATCGATTTGCTTTACCAAAAATCGTCAATTCATTGCGGTCCAACCATCCATGGACTGTATATTGTAGACGATGCTATGAAAGTGATACCATTAAGTTTACTCTACTTACCCTGCTGAACTTACATCCCGTGCTATCTGACCTAAAAATCCATCTGTATCTAGCCTGGAGGCGAACACGAGTTGCGGAGCGCGTACGTACATAAAAGGCGCGTTTTATCGGACGGGACACTTTGACAAGTCAGGCTGGCGGCGCGGCCATGTAGAACCTTTTTGCCAGCAAATTGTTGAACACGTGAGCCGGAAACGACGCGATGTCCACGAGGAAAATGGAGAAAATGGCTGTTGAAAGCTTTCTGATGCCGATGTCGGACAGATGTATCCACGTGTAAATGGATAAATTGTTACAAGTCATTTTCTCCGAGTTATTATTTTGTACATGCATGAGTCGGTCTCGTAACATATAATGTTAAGCAATGCCACGGATGTAATTTTAGATGCATTGAAAATCGTAAAAAAACCCTTTTGTCAGCAAGTTGTTAAACACGTCAGATAACAACGATGCGACGTCCACAGAGAAAATAGTAAGAATAGCTGTTGATGCCGATGTCCGACAGATATTTGTAGATAATGAATTAATTTCTAGGATGCTTGTATATCCATTTTCCACGCCAACTAGCTAGGAGGTATTGCATTCCCGAAAAAATCCATAACGAGATATTTTCTGGTTGCACGTCATAAAACGCCATGTCACATATGGTTGTGGTCGTCTGCATTCTGACTTTTTCCAGACTGTCTCAGAAGGAGGGTTATGTTTTGTACACGTGGGTATGTATATGAAAAAATTCTAATTTGCGGGCTGTAGGCCAAACGGGGATTCGCATAAGTAGTGCGAGTGACGCTGAGTATATCAAAGTTTTAATAGAAACAACCGACTTTTGAATTCCTAGAAATACACGTAAACGGCTTAAAGGATGTTGACACTTAAGGTGTTCTCAGATCCATCTTGGATTACAATTGAATCTCAATTCTTTTTTCACCGCTCTTGCATTGTATATATTTTTAAAAAATGTACTTGTTAGTTAATATGTATTATGTCACAGAAAGGGTAAAAAATTAGTGGGCCAGGAAGGTAAACATAACCATTAACGCTATATTTGATCCGAAATGTTTCTAACATCATATTGGAATTTCGCGTCCCGGACTATCTAATGGCAGCAGGTTTCGTTGGCATGCAGCAACTGATAACGAAAATGGATTTCTGGCATCTAGTTTTGCGCAATTTTTTCACTAAACAATAAGATGATAAACGAGAAGAGATTACATTCTTCAATAATAAAAATAATATTTTAAGCTCAATTTCATGTTAGCTAGAACTTCAAAAAAACATCAAACATCTAACACAGTGCAGTATAGCGGCAAAAGTATTTAAATCTGAAACAGATAACAATTCGTCACTGCCAGTACTCATCTTGACGCCTCTCAGGCACGTCACGCTGAGCATGTGTTATTCTCCATTGTTATAAAACAGGGCGAAAACACAGCTTGGCATATATAATATAAACTTGGTAGACAAGGGCCAGAGCTACCTTTGTTTCCCTCTCCCAAATATTTACGGTCGTATATATGACACGTGTTTTAACGCCAAGTTACTTAGTTGGACAGATTTCAGGGCCCTACAACGTTTGAAATTATGCGTGAGTGGCGCTCAGTGACAGGGATGTGATAATGGTACAGGTACCAGAATATACATCTTATATCACAGTAAATTCTGAATAGACAAGCTGAAAATGCAATGCACAATTCAGAAGAGAAGATATTCAACAATGCCTTTTACCACGGCAAATAATCTCAGTGGCAAAGAAATACGAGGAATGTCTTTTAAGTTTTGCATATAGAAACATAGTAAGCCGCGCGAATCGGAAGTCAGTACTGACTCTTAACCTCACTCTTTAGTAAACTTATATTCGAAGTTTCCCAACAATACGTGCAGTGAATTTTTCAACCGAGAACATTTTCGCGCCATAATTTATTACAACTTTCAGAGACAATTATAGCAACAAGAATGCCTTGCTGAGTTACTGTCCGTTTTCGGCAACGAAGCGCCACATCAGTCGACAATTTCCCGTTGGTTTGGAGAATTCAAACGTGGACGGGTGAGTCTTAGCGACGATACCAGGGTGGGTGCACCAAAAACGGCAGTCACCCAGGAAAACGTCGATGATGTGCGCAAACTCATCATTGAAGATAGACATGTGAGATGTCGCGAGATTGAGGCGTCCTTGAAGTTCTCTAAGACCTCAATTCAAAAAATTTTACATGAATAATTAGGAGTAAGAAAATTAGTTTCTCGTTGGATACCCCACCTGTTGACTGAAGAGCAGAAAGCAGCCAGGGTTAATTGGTGTCAAAAAACGCTTGACTGTTTCAACTCCGGAAACTCAAAAAATGTGTACAGCATTGTTAGTGGTGATGAATCGTGGATTTACTGTTATGAACCAGAAAATAAACGACAGTCAGCTGTTTGGGTGTTCCAAGGTGAAGAAAAGCCAACAAAAGTCATCCGTTCTCAAAGTGTTTAAAAAAAGATGGTCCCGAGATTTGTGTCAAAAGCGGGTCATATTGCAACAATTCCTCTTAATGAGCACAGAACTGTTACTGCGGATTGGTATATCACCATTTGTTTGCCAAAAGTCATCACCGAGCTTCGATAAATCAACCCCGAAAGAGGAATCATTCTCCACCAATACAATGCAAGCTCGCACACAGCCCAAAAAACAAGGCAGCATTTAACGGAAGAAAACGTGGAATTATTGGACCATACTCCATATAGTTCCGATCTAAGTCGTAACGATTTCGTTACTTTCCCGAAAATTAAAAACAGACTGCGTGGTCAAAGGTTCCAGTCACCAGAAGAAGCTGTTGACGCATTCAAAAATGCCGTTTTGGATCTGCCAGCAAACGAGTGGAATAAGTGCTTCGAAAATTGGTTCAAGGGCATGCAGATGTGTATTAATCTTCGTGGAGAATACTTCGAAAAACAATAAAGTCATTTAAAGCTACCTACCGTGTTTTTTTATTTCCATATGCAAAACTTAAAAGACACCCAAAGAAACTTATGTCATTTCATTTCTTATTTGTGTAAATATCTTGCTGGAGCCTGTGAATGAGAGCAAGTGACAAACAGCACCAAGAACGCTTTACTCCACTTACAAACGTTGCTCTACTCGGTATTTACGATTTACGGCGTACAAATACAGGCATAGAAGAATTAGAAGGAAGTGGTGCAGGGTAATGAACAGGGAAAATAAAATCGCCTCATTTTATGTTAGTTAATATGGTAACAATTATCAACAGAAACATTAGTGTATGTGCCTATTATCATAACCTAATTGGTGTAAACAAGAATGCTGATTGTTGCTTTTACTTTTGGATGTGTATGTTGTCGTTGTGATCATGTTGTGGCTGGAGGGAAAATAGTCCTCACACCTCGCCTGTGTCAAAGTGGGGAAACCAAAAGGTCTGTCCAAAGTTCCACAAAAAATGCAATTTCCAAAACAAGTTTTTGTTTAGCTGCTAATAAAGTGAACTGAAAAATTAAAAATATTTTTTCCGATTAGAAATGTTTAAGTGATAAGGAAGCTCTTTTATCTCAAGTTCTCTAATAAATGCGTTTACACCATGTTGTCAAAACGTAATATGCTTTTATTTCAAATCTTGATATGATAACAACTAAATGAAAGTATGTTTTTAAAAACTTTTTTTATTTAATTTATTTTTCACTTTTTAGTATTTTAGTTTGTAAATTTCTATATAATTTTCATATACCTATTTCATCAATAGGCATCCATAAAACTTCTTGATTTATTTTTATCATAAAATTTCCATAAATATAAATCATAAAATGATAATCGATATTTTGCAGAGATTGTCATATAGCATTGAGAATGACTATATTTGCTTATTCCGTTTCTCTCATAAAGCGTTTCCATATTGATGCCACTGGGCTTATTATTTTTTCCTCATTAAGCTCTTACATTCTATATCCATAGTATATGGGTGGCTAAATTATTATTCGCCATTTTGCTGTGGCCGCCGTATTGTATTTAGAATGACGTCGTTGTGCTTATTATATTTCCCTCATCAAGCCATTATCTTTGATGCCCATAACATAGGAGTGACTATGGAAATTATTAATCGCCATTTTGCGGTGACCGCATGGGGCGGTTGCCATATTGGTTTTAGAATGACGTCACTTTTCTTATTGCGTTTATCTCATCTAGCCTTTTGATTTGATATCCCTTTCGTACGGTTTACTATGGAAATTATGTATCATACTAGATTCAAAATGTTTGGAATTATCATGCAAACCAAACGTGTGTACAAAATTGCAGCTCAATTAGTTAAGGTTGACTGGTTTAAACTTCAGTTTCAAGACTTGCCCAAACATGACCACTAAGATACATACTAATAACTGTTAATACGTTTAATAAAAGCTTGTAAAAAGCCAATTGGAGTCAGCTCCATTTCGAATAGTAGCATGTTTATCAGACAAACAGTTAAGAAATATGTCAATTTTCGCTGCAGCTAACTGCAACTTTGGCAATTATACGACATATACAATAGGTAACTTGTACCTTGCAGACATATAAAACTCAATCCACAATTTTTTTGGAAACATAGCAGTCATAATGGATCCGCTATTTAGATTTTTCAAGAATCGATATTTAATTCTTTATTAGCGATCTTAAAAACACCATCCAAGTTTGAGTGCGATCAAAATATTCTTTACAAACATAGCCGCCATATCGGAAGCACTATTCATATTTTTCAACAATCGGTATTAAATTCGTTAGTAGCTACTCTGAAAACATCTGAAACTTGAATTTGAACTCAATCAATTCATATTTTGGCAAATATGTATACCATAATGAATCCGCCATCTTTAACCTTTGATAAATGGAAATCATTTTTTTTGAAAACGCAGAGACTAATTTTTTGTAAAGTTTAGTAAATATTTGTAATGTTGGGCATATTGTAGGACTTTTGAACCATCGTGGCATCGACCGTGTGCGAGTTTAATTATACATGTAGTTACGCCCCCTAGCGGCCATTTCAGAGACATGAAAACATTTTCCAGGTTTTTCTATTGGCCGTTTTAGTGATAACTTTTTTTGCCGCAAGCCTCTACGATGGATAGGTTTTCAGATACAGTACCTCGCATTCTTAGTTGGCTACCCTGTACAGAGAGAGGGGGTCATGTGGTGGAAGGTAAGTCTTAGCCTTAAACAAATCAAATCCACTATAGGAAACTTCTTAATTCAACGTAACCTCTTGATATCCTACCTAAGCACCTAAAGTGTTATCATGTCACTAAGCTTATCACCTGCTATATGGCCTTAGCTTCAGGCTCTTAGAAACATAAAAATGACAATCAGATCTTACTCCATGAAAGAAAGGTTATATTCGCAAAGGTAATTCGGTCATCAAATAGTATGTCTTTCACATATTAAAACGGGAAACTTACCAGCTCTTCGAATGAGGTTTGAAGGGGTCTACATTAGTCAACTGATAATATGTATATCCTCACATTTACATTCTTGTGCCGGTTCTTTGTTCCCCCGTCCAACAACCCTCAAGTGATCCCAACGCATTCGAGACCTGACTGCGCAAAGCAGCAAAAACCTCCAGCTCATATTTTATCGCCATTAAAAAATGGCCATACGGTAATATCATCTAATGTAAACATGTAGTCAGACACCCTGTTAACTCCCTTCTCATTAACCTCCCCTCATAAATCTGACGACCAATCATGAGCGTACTGTAGTGATGCTAAGGGGTTAGGTCATTACTGCATGTTTGATTATGCCACAATTTACTCCTTCAAGATTAAGTGCTTGGAGGTAATTCAAACACACCGTGTGAACTGTAAATAGGAAAATGGGCTAGAACCTTAGTTCTGAAAATACGTAATAAGAAAATTTCAAAAACACTTGCGCATTAGGATGGGTAGATATCGAATCTCAAGGAAACAGGTCCTAGTGGGGCAAAACCATACTTGGAAGGCAAAGTCGTGCAGAAAAGCTTCGCGATTGGAACCAGCATCGGTTTCGACACTAAATTGGATATAAGCAGACGCCAGGCAACGACGCCCTGAATGAATAGGCGTATATGGAAAAAGTCTGGTGAGGGAGACGACTGCAAGTAGGACAAAATATACACGTCGGGTGCTCTGGGTACTGGACAGAGGTAGAGAATCGCTCAGACTGTTGGTGGGGTTTCTCATCGGCCACTGAAGACCGAACACTTATTTATCCCTACTAAGAGTAGGAGATCACAGGCAGTTGATGCTTTAGAATTTTTTTATTACAATAATCGGATCCACCACTCCTGATGCGTTTTTTTTTTAGTTTAATATGAAAATGTTCTGGACTATTCTGCATATGACAGCACTTGTAATATCAACTATGTTTAGTTGAGTTACGTGTTATGCTAGGCAGCTATAAACTGTAACAGTCACCCTTTCCCTTCCGCCCTTATATTATTTCTCGTAGGGGCCATACAGCGCATTGTAAGCTCCGTAATTAAAGCTTTTACCGGGGATCACACAGTCTGTTACGGGAAGCTCTCAAGTTTTGTTGAGGTACCTGCTCTAAGGGCTGCAGGAATTTGTCTTGGAGGGTGATGAGGATAACGAGATTAAGGGACGTCTTAGAAAGGGTCATTGCTAGGGCTAGTCATTTTATCATGTTGAGGATGCATGAAATTGATGAGGTTGTTAGCGAAGATTGTGCTTTTGTGTGAATTACTGCTTGTCCTGTTAAAGCAAAGCGTCCGGTAGTTGCACATACATGGTGAGGTTTTAGCGTGTAGCCGATCGATCTCTAAAAATATTTTTCCTTACATGGGAAGTATGCCGTTTTGTGCAGGGTGATTCATAACTACTAGAAACTCAAATGGTCAGGTACAAATATTCTAAAATGCCTCGTTAAAGTAAAACGCATTATCATGTGCCAAAATCACGTAACCTTTTTTTGACTATCTTGATCACTTTCTAGTAATTAGAATTTCTCTTTATTAATGGTAGAGTGACCAAACCTTTTCAATGATTTAATTTTGGTAAATTTCACAGACTATTGATTGTATAATTATTGATAATAATTTCTTTATAAAGTTAGGAGTTTCGTTTCAGTCACTTTCCTCCTGAGATTGTGGTGTGAACGCCATTTGTTCAACCTCCAGATTATAGGATATTAGGTGCCGAACACCAGTTTGTGGAGTAGTACCCCTTCACATTTTACCTTACGTTTAGATGTTTTGGTTTGCGTGCTACCCCGACCATTTTCTTATAGGATTTTAATCTTCAGCGTGCGAAGGCATTGCGGAGAAACACCACACACTCCTTCAGCTTTGCTTGTAGCTGTTTTGCAGCTGGTATTGCCGGAAACCACCACTCCCCTTAGCAAAAAACCCTGATGCGAACATAGTCTTTTTTTCTCATACCATCGGACCACGTGCATTGATGCGTATCATGAAGAAGTTTGTTCAATATCTGCTTCCTTTTAGTGGGGGGGCATTTTTTGCGAAGGGGAAGGAGTGGCCTTCGGCAATACCAGCTGCGAATCAGCTACAAGCAAAGCTGGAGGAGTGTGAGGTGTTTCTCGGCGATGCCTTCTCACGCCGAAGATTGAAATTCCATAAGAAAATGGACGGGGTAGCACCCAAATCAAAACAACTAAACGTAGGGTACTATATGATGGGGTACTACTCCACAAACTGGTGTTCGGCACCTAATATCCCAGAATCTGGAGTTTGAACAAATGGCGCTCACACCACAGTTTCAGGAGGAAAGTGACTGGCACGAAATACACCTAACTTTATAAAGGAAGGTTCAGTGAGTGGCCGCGAAGAAGATATGTTCGATAGAAAACAAAGTAACGAGGAAAAAACAGTTTTTTTGCCGCACAATAACGAATCACTGAGAAAGGGAAATATAATTCACGTGGAGTTATAAAATCAATAATCTATGAAGTTTACCAAAAGAAAA